GGGTTGCGGACATAACCCGTGACGGAGGCACGTCCACAACCTGCAGCGTTCACATCCTGAAGTGCCGCGTCTGTGCAGGTGACGGCACAATTTGGCACTTCTGCACATATGCGAGCGGCGAAACCCGGAACTAACGCGTTCCGGTACTTCTTGTTTTCCCATGGTCCGTAACCCGAACATGTAACCTGAAACGGCCGTAACATGAGGCATGACTGTACAAAAATGTTATTTCAAGGGTATATAACTTTGAAAGATATACAGAAGATGAATAATGAAATGAATGGACATTGCTGGAAATGTCATAGACCTCAAGGAACCTTCTTCCATTTATGGTGGACCTGTGAAAAGACCAAAAAGTTTTGGAGGAAAGTTCATTTCGAAATGAAAAAATGTTAAAAAAACTAAATTTGCATTGGACCCCAAAACTATGCCGTTGAGAATGACTCCTTCAGCTACTGTATTGTGAAATCGTCAGTGGAACTATTTAGTTATATGACCACAGCAGTCAGAGTGGTGTTGGCTAACATATGGAAATCTGACATACAGTATGTCCTGGAATAGATGCATGGAAAGAGAAACTATCAGAATATGCAGTAATGGCAAAACTCGCGGATTTAGTAAATGATAGACTCATGGCAGAACATAAAAAAACTTGGAATTGTTATAATTTGTATACAACTTAACAGAACTGTAACAAAATTAACATCTGTATGGATTTGTATAATACACCTTAGGTTACAAAAATATTTCCTGTTTAAAAATAGAAGCTTTGTGTGTATATGATAAAGAAAGAAATATATAGTAGAGGAAATATTGTCTGTCTGATCTAGAAATGAAATCATATTTTAAAATAATTTTTGCTTTAGATTTTTACAATCATATATGGTATTTCTCCAATAGCAAACTACCTAGAATTGGAAATAATATTTAGTACACTAACCTTTGTTTAACTCTTGATAAATGTAAGCTTGCTGAGTTATTTTGTACCATTGTGATTCAATGTTATATTTGCCAGCAGGCAGACCCAGCAATACAGAGTTTTGCTGCTTAGCAAGAGATTTGGGGAAGTTGCTACTGTTCTTCACTGTGATCAGATTACACACTGAGTACTCGCTTCCTGTTTACTGTGCAAGCAAGTCAGCCAGGCCATAGCATGAGTACCTGCCAGCCATCTCATTCTAGGTCACCTCCTATGCAGCATCAGGTAGGTGAAGTCACTAACGTCCATGAAAAAATATACCTAAGGCGAATTCTGGGACTCCAGAATCCACAGATACCTGCAGAGTCTCTAGCTCAGGTGTGGGGAACCTCTGGCCCTCCAGATGCTGCTGAACGTCTGCTTGCTGGAGTTGACAGGAGTTGCAGTCTAGCAAGAGCTGGGGTGGCCAAAGGTTCCCCACACCTCACCAGAGGAAAAGGATTCTGTATATGCTCAGGAGCACATTTGCCCTGCGTCTTTGAAATGCTACATCCCCCTTGGAGGTCAAGGATTTCTGTGCATGCTCCAGGACACTCAGCCAAGGTGCCAGAATTTTGGTCAGCCCAAAGGTAGCTGCTGCACTCTTGAGACACAACATCTGCTGAAATTGCGGATAAATTTGCACTGGCTTCCTCACCCTTTTTGACTATCTGAGGTGAGGACTGGAACAGGCCTGCCTCTTTGAGGACTTGTTAATTTATTTTAGCACTCCTTTGGAAACAAGCAGGTATGTGCTCTTTGCAGTCGACTGGGCATATTTCCAAATGTGCATTCTGCAGAAAAACCACAGACTGTGAAGCATTCATGTGCCCCATGTGCCCATGGCTCTGGAATTCATGTGCTCCCATGCCAGAGAGGTTTTATGAGCGAATTTGATGGTTCCTTTCCCCACTTAGGCCAGACAGGTCCCCCAGGCATCTGCCTTTAATGTTATGGCCCACCATTAAACTTGCATGCACCACGAAATGTGCCACCAACATGGAAAGAACAGGCTGCATTTACCCTTTTCTCTCCCGATTTGAGTTCCACCTGAAAATTATGTGGCAGAAGTTACAAATGCTTGCAAATCCATGCCCCTGCTTAATTCACAGAGTGCAGAAGGGTAGTGATATCATTAAGCCCCCCGCAGCAAACGTAGAAAAAGAGAGCCACCAAGCAGCTTAGAAACAAATGGATTTATCGTGGCAGAGCTAGTTGTAGGGCTAGAGCAGGCATCCCTAAACTTGGCCCTCCAGCTGTTTTGGGACTACAACTCCCATCATCCCTAGCTAACAGGACCAGTGGTCAGGGATGATGGCAATTGTAGTCCCCAAACAACTGGAGGGTCGAGTTTGGGGATACCTGGACTAGAGAGTTTGGGATTAGAGCATTCTGCATATCTGATAAAAAGCACAAATCCACAGGGTTCTCCCCCTCCCATCAATCTGTGTGGAATTTGATGCCCCTCCCCCCTTCAGCCTCCAAAGGGGGTGGGCTTGCAGAGAAACAAATCTCTGGGCTCTGTTGCTATACAAAGCTTAATAGAAATGATAAATGGAGATGAGATGAAATGGAGTGGAATGGAATTACAAACAATACAGAATGTATACAGAAAAGGGGAAATAGAAAATTGAATATATTGTAATTCACACAAAATCCAGTAAAATATGATGGATTGAATGATTAGCAATTGGATATGATTTGCATGCTGATTAGCAAATGGCAAGCACTGGCAAAGCAATAAAAGGGACTAACATATTCACATTTCAGTCCAATAATAGCCTCATTATAATAATACCAAACCATAATACAATTACAAACACCTATTGTTCAAATACAAAATTATATAATTTAGGTGGCCTCCCATTTGCTAGAATTGATGGTTGATTATTTTATTTCTGCGTTCCAAAATCTTACGAATTTCAATTACATTCCAATCAAAAATTTGCAACTGGCACCTGCAGAGATCTGTCGGTGCACACTGATGTGCTTTTGTCCTGCAGAACCATTTGTATCTATTAATTAGGCCTGCCCTGGCCCTTCTTCCCAGGTTCTTCACGAAGGTGCTGGGTTCACCACCATGCATTTATGTGAAGCCTTGCACAACCCTGGGGAAATGCCTGCAATGTACTTCTTCGCGTTTTGGAAAACTAGTCCGGACATCCAGTTGCAGCATGTAAGCTATAAAGCATTTCCTTCCTTGGCTATGTATCTAAGACTGCCCAAGACTTAGACCTCTTACTTAGAAGTACGGTACATCTCTTAGAACTACATGGGATGAGCTTTCAAATAAAGATGCTGAAAAGTGGACCCCTCTCTGGAGATAAACCTGGCCGTTGTGGTGTAATTAACCCATTTTGGGTTTTATGTTTGGAAGGAAGAGGAGAGGCGATTGTCAGTGTGGAGAGATAATGGAACTGAATGGAAACCTGGTTTGTAAGAGCTCTTATAGCAAGGCTTGTAAGAGTTGTTGTGGCCGCTAAAATAAAGTTCGGACAATGGTCTAAAGCAGGGAGGCGTTTCTCAAGCCTGGGGACCAAATGAAGCCCCAGCCCTCTGGACTGTTCCCAGACCACACCATACCTGTGTCAAACACTTCCCTGGCTCTGCTCTGCATTCTCAAGTTATGTTTGACATTTGTTTAAATCTAACAACACAAAGGAAAAGATAGGGTGTTGTGCCTGGCTATAAACTCTGATCATTCTTTTTGCTAGCCAGCATGGATAGAAAGGGGCTTGCCTGTGTGCAGTAACTGGCCTACTGAACAAAGGTAAAATTATAATCCATTATTCTACCCACATTTCCTTCTGGCCCTGCCTACCACTGACATCTGGCCCCCAGAAGAGAATGTGGTCCTTGGGCTGTAAAAGGTTCCTCAACCCTGGTCTAAGGGCATATGATGCAGCTTTGTTGCTGAAGCTAAGCAATTTTAGCCATATAAACTGCATGCCTGGGAACCATGCAGAAACTGCCTTTAGCATTTTGGAAGGGTGGGGTTTGGGGGGAAGTAAGTGACACCCACAGTGCTAGAGTGAAGGCTTTATTTGCATGCTTGAGATCCTAGGTTTTACTCCCTAACTTAAAAGATTTTGGACTTGATATTGAATCATTAATGGATTACTGCAGGTCATTCCCCTTCAATACCCTCAAAGAGTTACAGGGGGCTAGCCCCTTACGCCCCATTTATCCCATCTGGGATCCCTCCTGAGGTGCCCTGAAGGCTGCTTGTCATGTTTGCTGCAAAACAATAAAAATAAAACCTAGCCCTTTTTTTACCAGTCACGTGGGCCAGCTTTAAAGAATTACTGCTGTTGCTGCCACCTACCCAGGAAGAACAGACCATGTAGAAGAGCCCTGCTGGATCAGACTAATGGTCCATATCTAGCCAAGCTCCTTTTTCCCATTGTGACCAGTCAGAAGTTTCTTCAGAAGTCCACAAGCAAGGCATGAAGGTAACAGCCCTCTCCTGCTGGTGCTCCCCACAAACAGAGATATTCAGAGCTATGCTGCTTCTGATTCTGAAGGAACTGAATATCAAGACTACATACACACCCTACATTTAAAGCACTTGAATCCCCCCAAAGAATCCTGGGAACTGTAGTTTAGCCACTGCAGGGCTACAACTTCCAGTGCACTTCACAAACTGCAGTTACCTAGATTATTTGGGGTAGGAGGGTGCTTTAAATGTCTGGTACCATACAGAGCCTAGCCTCACTGGCTAATTGCACTTACAACCTTATTGGCCATGAATTTTAAAGCTGTCTAAACTAAAGGCTAAACCAAGAAGGAGGGAATGATGCACTTTCTCTATACCATGTATAATTTCATTAAGGTCTATCATGTCCTTCCTTGCGTGTCTCCTTTCTACACTACCCACCCTCAATGTTTCAGTTTTGATTCCCAATACACACACGGTTTCTCACCCCACCATGGTGTACACACACCAGCCTTGACACACCTAGGGAGGGTGTGTGGAAATCAACCTCCAATTTCTCACGCAACCGTACCAAGGGTTTAAATGAAAGGGAAGAAATTCCTAGCATCACAGAGAAACATATTTTTTTATTTGCGCCCTTCAACCATTATGATGTGATAGCCAAACTTTGTTTTCACAGGGGGGTCTGTGTACACGGGCTTGTCCATACTGCTGACAGGCAAGGCGAAGGCTGCATCTTGGAAGGGCCCCACCATAGAGCCTCTGCTCATCCAGCCCAGATCTCCCTGGAAAAGAAGAACAACGGGAGACTGTTAAAGCCCTATAGCAGGGCTGTTGGCCAGATTTCAGTATGTTTAGTTCTTAGCAGAACTTCAGGGCCACCAACCAGAGCCAGGGTAGCTGTGGGGACGGGGCTACTGTTCCCCATGAGCCCCCACATTGTGCTGACCTTTTTGTACACATATAAATCCACATGTGAGTTACTACACATCAGAGATTCTAACAGTCTAATTTAGAAAGGGAGGAGGGAAGTTGCTGAAGTGGCTGCTATAACAAAGTGAGAGTGAGAAGCCCTCACCAGTCTCCTGTACATCTTCCAGTGATCAACCAGGAGATCCAACCTCTCTTCTGCCCTTCCTTACTCTAAAAGGCACAAGCCCTTACAGCTGGACCTCAGTTCCCTCTCCAATATGCTATACCTTGCTTGCTTTCTGCACATGCTCCTGACAAGCCTAATTAGCTTTCCCTGTAGGTCAGGTTGCTAAGATATTGTCAACATTTTGCTTAAGTTCGTTCTTCATTCCCTTTCACTCTCACCTTTCCAAGCTTCCTCACCTCCTGTGTCCTATTCTGTTAGGATTTCCACTGAAAGTTCTTGAGGCCAGAGACCTGTCTTTTTAAAAACTCATTTTACTTCTGCAAAGTGCTGTACTCACAGATTTCATTTGGCTCTGCCTCTGTGTTTCTGCTGCAGCTAAGCTTCACTCTAGTCTTTTAAATCTAGATCTCAGCTAGCTCAGTGTTTCTAAATCGTACAGAAGAACAGGCAGTGAAGTAGGAAAGGAAAGACCATGGCACCTTTGCTGCCTCTTTCTCTCAAGTCCTCAGGGCAACAAAGGAAAGGTGGCAACCACAGCAACAAGGTGGTCTGTCAGCACAAAACAGAAAGAGGCACATACCCCTTGTCTGGCTTTGTCCTCGCTGTACTGAGAGGCTACTTCACTGAAGCGCACCCCAGCCTTGAGTTTTTCCAATGCCTCCAGGCATCTGCTATGCTTCTCACATAGAATATGCCTCACCTTAAAAAAAAGCAGAATACAGATTAGACAAGCATACACCACTCTGGCTGAAGAGGCAACCCAGTCAGATGGGTGGAATATAAATAATAAATTATTATGAATGATGTATTATTATTATTATTCCTCAAGAGGTAATGCAACCAACGGCAGCTCTGGCATTTGACTGTAATTTAATGTGGTTTACAATACCCCATCTCACTATAATAATTTATAATAATAATTTATTATTTGTACCCCGCCCATCTGGCTGGGTCTCCCCAGCCACTTTGGGTGCTTCCACAAAGACCAAAACTACACTAAGATGTCACACATTAAAAACTTCCCTGAACAGGGCTGCCTTCAGATGTCTTCTGAATATCAGGTAGTTGTTTATCTCTTTGACATCTGATGGGAGGGCGTTCCACAGGGCCGGTGCCACTACCAAGAAGGTCCTCTGCCTGGTTCCCTGTAGCTTTGCTTCTCGCAATGAGGGAACCACCAGAAGGCCCTCGGTGCTGGATCTCAGCGTCCGGGCAGAACTATGGGGGTGGAGACGCTCCTTCAGGTATACTGGGCCGAGGCTGTTTAGGGCTTTAAAGGTCAACACCAACACTTTGAATTGTGCTCAGAAACATAGTTGTGCATCCCATAGCATTGAGTCATTAGTGTAGGAGAGAGGTGTTGAACTCCAACTCCCATCAGCCAGCAGTAGTCCAGCAAAATCTGGAGGGGCACAGAACCCCCACCCTCCTTGCGCAGACTGATGTCAAGCTAGCTGTGTTGAGCGGCTAGAGATCAGGAAGCAAGTCACCCTCCCCGCTTTAGCTGAATTACACTGTACATACATTCTTGTCTCTTTCGTGTCTAAAATTGCACCCCTGGGACACCATCCAAGATGAAATGAAACAAAACACCCACCTTCACACTGCTGCCACCTCCTTTAGGGCCCTGGGCTTTCTTATCTGCAGCATCACTGCCAGAGGATGCTCCACCTATGAAAACACACAAGGTCAGAGGCAACGGTGAGACACCCTGAGTGCGCTATGACACCTTCCTTCCATAGTGCCAAGCCCACACTCTGTGCTCAGCTGTGTGTGTACCCTGTGCAGCCAAACTCCAGGTTGCCAGTCTCACAGCAATGCACAGAAGCATGGTAGACTTAAGCTGCTATAAGGCAAAGGCTGTTCACCCTGCTTGAACCCAGGCAGGATGTGAAAGCGCACAGAAACCCCACAATCACAGCACTGGGAACTTAATCACAATGACAGCTTTTTTCTTTCCCCATTCCTGGTTTACTTGACATTCTGCCTGAAGAAGCATACTGTACCAGAGAGAATATGAAAAATTGCTCCTTGTTTTGTAACACTGGTTGATCCTGATAAAAAGTATCCCCTCACTTTGTCGTGACTTATGTGCATCCGAACCACTGTTCTGTACCATCTGCAGCTGGGGAGGAGGGCTCATGCCTCTCCAAACGCAGTACAATGGACACCATTACTGACCCTGCTGGCTGACTGGGGCCGATGGGAGTTGGGAGCATCTAGAGGGCCACAGGATTATATATCCTTGATCTGGGATATGCTGTACCACAAACCGGTCTCTTTGTGAGTCAAGGGGCTGGAAACCTATTAGGGCATCCCAGGCACGTGTGGAAACCCACATGTCTCTGAGATCTCTGCACGTCATCCTGGTGCTTAAATTTGCTTCAGGCCGGTTTAAGATGAGCAGGGGGGAGGGGGCAAGCAGAGACTCTTAGGCTGTACTGTCCCTTCTGGGAGAGCAAGGCAGAGAAGACAAATCAGGATTCCTGGTGTCCCTGTTGTCAGCACCTGGCTGGGGAGAAGGAAACTAGGACTCCTGGGTTCTCTGGTTGCAGCTGGAATTCATCCCATTCACCCCATCCCATCCCCAGTCAGCGCCCCCCATCCCTTACCCTTTCCCCCTTTGCCGCCGCTTTTCCCTTTCGGAGGCATCTCCACGGCTTCTTCCGCCCTCTCTGAAGTGCTGCGGCGTCGCTCTCCTCTGACGTAATGTCCCGCGACTCAACCGACCGGGCGCCCCTTCCCCTTTGCGAAAGCGGACCAATTAGATGCCTGCGGGGCGGGGCTTTACAGCATCTGTCAAGCGCAGTGACAGAGCGGGGCGCGCGGAGGATTTCTGCGAGGCAGCCCCTTCCCGGCATCGCTAACGTTCTGTCAAGTCGGGTTGCACCATCTCCGCAAAACCCTGATCACAGGCTTGTCGATAAACCCAGAGAAGTGTGTTTACTGGCAAACGGGAGACCGTGTGGACAGTCCTCCTTTGCTAGCCCCCAGCAGTCGCCTATGTACATGCAAGAGAGCTGAAGGTGGCATACGTGGTTCCCTCTTCTCCCATGTTATATCCACAAAAAGTTAGGTTGAGAGACGGTGGCTGGCCCTTGGTTCCCCAATGAGCTCTCTCAGAGTGGGAATTTGATCCCTGGTCTCTCCCAGGTCTTCCCCAACATTCTTTACTTACACCGTATTGGTATGCACTGTGGTGCACCGAGGCAGATAAACAAGGCTGCATTGCTGTAATTATTGTAGGGTACGAATACTGTGTGCTAATATTTTCAATATTTACTCACCTCTTGAGTGGACTCTTCAGATTGGCATTGAAAGTGCACCCAGGGCTCAGCTGGGGGTTTCAATACAAGTCCAAAGATCACAGATGAGAGACAAAAATACTTTGAAAATATTAAAGTAGAAAATAAAGGAGGAGTTACTGCTCTTTCTTCAATCTCCACCACCTCAGGACGCCCCAAGACATAGATTTTGGGGTCCAGTTTGAGCATCTCAAGTTTAAGTCTCAGAGTCATAAGCTGGTCTCATGTTACTGTCTCTTTACTTTGGGTTGCCTGCTTCCAGTCTTAGTCTTACTAAGAGCAGATCCATTGAAATTTATGGACTTGACTAACTTAGATCCATTAATTTGAATGCGTCTATTGTGAGAAGTTATGGGACGCGGGTGGCGCTGTGGGTAAAAGCCTCAGCGCCTAGGGCTTGCCGATCGAAAGGTCAGCGGTTCGAATCCCCGCGGCGGGGTGCACTCCTGTTGTTCGGTCCCAGCGCCTGCCAACCTAGCAGTTCGAAAGCACCCCTGGGTGCAAGTAGATAAATAGGGACCGCTTACTAGCGGGAAGGTAAACGGCGTTTCTGTGTGCGGCTCTGGCTCGCCAGAGCAGCGATGTCACGCTGGCCACGTGACCCGGAAGTGTCTCCGGACAGCGCTGGCCCCCGGCCTCTTGAGTGAGATGGGTGCACAACCCTAGAGTCTGTCAAGACTGGCCCGTACGGGCAGGGGTACCTTTACCTTTATTGTGAGAAGTTAGTTGGATAAAACCACTTGACTATAGTATTACATAGTATTATTTTAAAATACTAAACAAACCCAGCCATTTTGAAAGAGAAAATACTATGTATGTTTCCCTAAACTTCCATTTTCATCCAGTGGAAAGACTTGATCCCTCCCACTATGAAGAGAACCAATACTTTCCCCTTCTCTATGTTCCATTTTCCTGGGCCTTCACATCTTTAATCCCAACCCTTTAGCATTGGGCTACAGCTCTGAGCCCTGTTTCAGTATCGGAAAGTATTTTAAGAACCTAGTAGTCCCATGACACCACTAGGTACAATCTTCATTATCTGATATTTTGGTTTGGCCACAAAGAGTTTCAGACTTTAGAGTGCTGGATACTTGCCCAGCCTAATGGCAATGCCAAACCAAAATATCAGATAAGGAAGATCGTGTTATTATATGCTTGCCTATGTTACCTGGACAGGGACACGGGTGGTGCTGTGGGTTAAACCACAGAGCCTAGGGCTTGCTGATCAGAAGGTCGGCGGTTCGAATCCCCGCGACGGGGTGAGCTCCTGTTGTTTGGTCCCAGTTCCTGCCAACCTAGCAGTTCGAAAGCACGTCAAAGTGCAAGTAGATAAATAGGTACCGCTCTGGTGGGAAGGTAAACGGTGTTTCCGTGCGCTGCTCTGGTTTGCCAGAAGCGGCTTAGTCATGCTGGCCACATGACCCGGAAGCTGTATGCCGGCTCCCTCGGCTGATAAAGCAAGATGAGCGCCACAACCCCAGAGTCGTCCACCACTGGACCTAATGGTCAGGGGGTCCCTTTACCTTTACTATGTTACCTGGACCCTTAAAAACAATCTGCCATTGTTGCCATCAGATGCAGAACGGGGCATTTTTTAATACAGTCTCTATACTTTCCTGCCTTTGGCAGAGCAGCTTATTTATTTGAAGAGGGATTTTGTGTTTTTACTGACTGCTGTGCATACAGAGTTAATGAACTGTTGCCACTTCTGATAATGCTTCTTGTTTAACAGTGATCATTTTAATATTTTAAACAGCTTGTTTTATGTTGTATCAGTTGGACTCCAGTAGTCACTTTAAATAGAAAAATCTTAATGCAGAAAACACATGGTAAAATATGAAAATAAATTTCACATGGTCTAGCAGGAGTTTCTATGGCCAATCTATTCTTACTGCCATCTTTCTCAGTGTAGACTTTAATCATCAGGGCACAGGAAACATAGATTGACCTATGGTACAGGCTACCTGCAAACCACCCTGTGATCTTCAGGTGAAGGGTGGTATAGAAATTTAATAAAGAAATGTTATAAGTGTGTGGGTGCCAGACTCCCCTAAATTCCTGGGTCCAGTAGTATCAGAATTTAATTTATGCTTAGGGTGCTAAAACTGGGTGCCAGACTCATGTGTTTTAAGTTAGGTGCTAGACTTCTAAAATCCATGGATCCAGTGAGTGTTAGAATATAATTCAAGCTTGGGGTGCTAAGACACTTTTAATCCCTGGAATCAGCAAAGTGTCAAAAGCTAATTAAGTCAGACTAGTCTCCTGTGTTGTTGCGACTGTCTAAAGGTGATAAGTGATCAGACCAGAACAGAGAACCAGACAGAAAATGGGTGTGGCCCCTCTATCAACAGATAAAGCCAGAGTTTTAAAAGTTAGAAGCGATGTGAGCTAGATGCATAGAGAGCATGGTTAGACAGTCTTAGATCCAAGAGTGTAGTTATGGAAGAAGCAAGACATTTTGGGGGGTGTTGATGCTGTAAACCCGTCAACCATAGGCTTAGGTTATATGTATTTGTAAATAAACCTGATAGCCTAAAGACAGCACAGTCTCCGCTGTGCCTCATTTCCAAAAGGAAACACAAACCCTGGGTAAAGTGCCTGGAACCCCCTGGAATCTTGCACCACTTGGAGATTAGAGATGGCATGCAACAATAATAATAGCACCCAGCAGATTGTAGCAAAGATACCACACATGGAGGAGAGCCACCACTCATGTTAAAAACCCTTAGCAATTTTGCAAAAGAATTCAGTGTTGCAGAATCAGCTTGATGAAAAGTCAGAGATCCATGATCAGAAACACCCCGCCCCCATTTCTTCTAAATAGTTGTTAAAAGCAACTGTGGAGGGGTCAAAATTGAACTGGGATCACAGAGCCAGGAGAGAGAAGAGACTGAACTTTTCTTCCATGCTATTTTTTAAATCTGCATTGGCATCTTTAATTTGTATTTAATTAGTTGTTGTTTTTAAATCTGTATAGGAATTGTTTTTAAGAAAATTTTATTCATTTGCCACTTGATGTTTGCCCCTGCCCCAGGGCAACTTTGGGAGAAAGGGTAGGATGTGAATAAACAAACAATATAACCTCCACTCACTCAGGAGCTGTCATTTTCTCACCATGACAAATAGCAGCTTCCAGGGGAGAAAGGGAAGATTTCAATCAGGAAAGCAGCATAATGGAATGAATTTTTAATAGACCACCCCCGTCTACTGTAGCACTGCAGTCACATTCCAATCTCCTTTCTTCCACAATGGCTATTAAAATAAAATTTAAAGAGACAGCTGGTCTGATCATGGACCACCAATGTGTCATCTAGCCTGGCCCTTACAAACCTTTGCTAGGACAACCGTTCCCAAGTTTAAACACATGGAATGTGCTCAAAGCAGCGAATGTAAGCACTCCATTAGGGCAAATGGAGAACTGCCCCACAAGGCTCAGTCTGCTCTCAAGTAGCTACCACCTGCCTACCTTCTTACTTGCATCTAGAGGGTGGCACTGGCTGTCAGCTTCCTTCCCCTTAGTCTAAGTGTTGCCCTTTTAGAACTCAGCAGGGAGGAGGATGTGGACAAAATTAGTTGGCTCCAGCTGTTGTTGGACCTGGCTTGACCAACCCTTGGCCTCCCAGTCTTCTGCTCTACCACACCCAATAGCCACCACTGGGAGACCTCTGCATACACACCAACAATGGAGGTAATGCAAGTGTCTTGAGAAACCCCAGAACTGGAATCAGCTGAAAAAAAGCACTGCTTTGGTCTTTTCACAATTTTCATAACCGTTTGAGAACAGATAGGTCCAAAATGGCTGATTCTGTCCAAATAAAAGTCATGAAACAGAGTAATCACAGCACTGAAATGAAATATTAGATGGTTAGTTTCTAACAGAAATGTTAGGTCTCTCTGGCGGCTGTAAACTCACCCAACAAACCATTTCTGTTGCAAAATGGCAACTATTTCTGCTTGCAATCTTTCTCTTTATTATCAATGATAGAAATCAGGGGGGAAAAATCCATGGTCCAAAGTCCTATTAGCTTCAAGTTCATGTGGCTGTTTTCAGTCCATCAAAGCCACAGAATTTCCACCTTTTTTCAAGGCTTGCTCCAACACCACTCATCTCCTGCTTGAAAGTGTGCTGGAGTCGCATCATGAGGGCTTCCACTTCACTAGCACAAATCTAGAAAAGAAAAACAGCATGTAACTGAAAACAGTTCCAGACAAAAAAAAATGGACGATCTTCTCAGTTCACCATGAAGGGTTAACATTTAACACCTTGGGTGAGATGACACTTCAGAGTATCCTGAACAGATATGCCAGACTCACAATCCTGCTAATGAACTTGGGTCACTCACTGTCCACTGTTTCTCTAGGGAGCTCTTGACTCCAGGAACCAGAAACACCACACCTGCTACTGATGAACTGCACAGACCAGTTTAAAAGATAAGTGAGAATCAAAGAGTCCCCGATCTTTCCAGGGGTTTATCTCTCCCCTCCCACCTCCCCCCCCCTTTGGTTTGCAATTCACTGGCTAGAACAGGCATAGGCAAACTCGGCCCTCCAGATATTAAATCTGGCTAACAAAAACAGCCTGCACAATTCACGTTTCTTCAAATTTGTCATATATCCCTTTTGAAAAGCTCTACACAAAGGGAGATTTAAATAGAGAGGAGAGCAGATGCTGTGCTTTGCAACCTCAAGAGTGGAGATAACACTTTTTTCCTGTAAGATTCTTCCTGATAATTTCCCAAATATCTTTGGGGTCAGAATTTTCAAAGTCAGGTAGATTAAGCCCTATTGAGTTCAATTTTCTCCAACAAATCAATGATAAATTGTAAATTACATTATTACTTAAGAGGTCGTAAAGGAGAAAATTAGGCAATAGGGCTCTATGATGCAGGAAGGTCCAATATTTCAAGGTTCTCAACCATACTCTTACTGATAAAGTAAGTATTCCCAATTCACAACATATTGATTCATATTTTACAGAATTTGCAAGTCCTAATAATGACCTCAGAAGGGATGCATGGAATTTATCCAACCTCTTAAGGTCACCTGAAATCCACACTGGGGTGCCATATAAAAGTTGGGTACAAAGTTTCATATCAATCACTTGCAATACAGCTGGAATATATCTATTTCTTATAGGAGAAAAAAAAAGATTTAATATGGTGAGATGTCACTTTAGCCTTAGCTATTGCAGCACAGATATGTGTGTTCCAATTCATGTTATTTTTAAATACAATTCCCAGATAATTGAAATGCTTCACTTCTTGTATTAGATGTCCATTTATTATCCAATTTTTTGGGTTCCCTCTTTGTAAATTGCATAATTTTTGTCTTATCATAGTTAATTTTGAAGTTATTAAGAGGGCAAAAGTTTGAGAAACTTAAATATATATTTTTAAACCTAAAGAGGGAAGTGAGATAATTACCGCATCATCTGCATATAGTAATAAAAAACCTGGGATATTGTTTAAATAAGGAATATGAGTGGTTACATTTTGAAGAAATAATGGGAGGTCAGATAAAAAGAGATTAAATAGGGTAGAGGCCAAGATGCAGCCTTGCCTAACTCCTCAGTTATTCAGAATTGGACCTACAAGGCTACCATCTTTTGAAACTTTAACATATATTTGGTTACTGGAGTGTAAACATTGAATCAATGTAAGCAGTATGGATCAATACCGAGGTATTCCAATTGGTCCACAGTTTATTACGATCGACCAAATCAAAGGCACTTTTTAAATCTACAAATGCCACAAAGAGTCTTCGTTTGTTTCTCAAGACATATTTGTCCACAAGATGACTTAACACTAGACACTGGTCAAGAGTTGAAGGTCCTGCCTTGAAACCAGCTTGTTCCTTACCAGGTAGACCTTTTGTAAGCATCCATTCTTCCAGTTTAATAAGCAGAGATTTGGCATAGATTTTACTTATGCATGGTAACAAACTAATAGGCCTGTAATTCTCTTGGCAATTCCTATCACCTTTTTTAAAAAAATCGGCACCACTATTGAGTTATTCCACAATTTAGGTACAAGGCCTGAGTGATTGACAGAGTTAAAGAGTGGGACAAGATTAATGGCCCACCATTCCACATTTAATCTCAACAGGTCTACTGAGATGCCTTCCATACGAGGGGATTTTCCTTGCTTAAATGAAAGAATTATCCTTTTCATCTCCTCAACAGTAATTTGAAATTGTGTGGTTATTGCCGAAGAAGATTTAAAATTTTCCATCTTAAAAACTTGGGAGTCATAAAAAACAGCGATAAAATGCGTAATCCAAGCTTCATCACTTATATTAGGGAAATCAGTGGTAGCTTTTCTTAAAAGGAGTGACCAAAAGGTTTTGGTATCTTTAATTTCTAATGCAGTAACAATTTTGGACCACTTGGCTTGTGAAAACACGTATTTTTTTCCCCAGGAGCATGTTCTTAAAAGCGTTTTTCATTTCAAAATAGGTCTTCCAGAGACCTTAGGAGTTAGTGATAGAGGCTTATTTTAGACAAGTTCTAAGTTCTTGCTTATGGTTGATACATTCTTTATCAAACCAGTTATACTTATTTAAAAGTTTGTTGCTGAACTGGAAATTTAAAAAAGAAGAAAATAATTCCTGAATAGTATAATAATAATAATAATAATCAATGTCTGCCAAAGGCAATGCCAGTTAGTATGGCCAATGGTCGGAAATCATGGGGGGGGGTGGAGTCCAACATTATCGGGAGGGTCACAGGTTCCCTGTCCCTGTGCTAAGTAATGGCTTATGTTGCAGCTACAGGTGGGTGGCATTAAGCCTGGGAGGTAGAGAAGACAGCCTGTTCTGCATGGGGTTGCCCTCCCCTAGGGGTTATCCTGGTTTCAGCATTGTCACTGGAGCTTCAGGTGGCCTTGGTGAGTAGAGAGTGCCTATTTCCATTTCCAGCTGATTTGTAGCCATGCTCCCTTTTGGACAGAGATGTGCTCTGGTAACTTCCAGAACGGACTCCTGCCTATTGCAATGTGCTCTATGTGGTTCTGTCTTTGAAGGAAGACTTGCAAAATTGAATTGGTCCAAAATGCAGTAGCCAGTTTACTGGCTGTGGTTCCATTAAGAATTCACATACACCCCAGAACTAGTTGCCAGTTGGCTTCCAGACCAAATTCAAGGTGCTCACATTTAGTGTTTGAAGTCCTTACATGGCTTAGGGCCAAATAACTGAAAGATTGCCTCCTTCTCTACAGATTCTCTTGGGTATCAAGACTGGCAGAGGGGGGGGCACTTGGTAGTTCCTACATCCTCAGAGGTCTGGGGTGGAGGGCCCAAAACAGGGCCTTCTCAGTGGTAGCACCTAAGCTGTGGAATTCCCTGCCCATGGAGCAGCTTCTGGCACCTTAAGTAGTTTTTATCAAATGCTGAAGAAACACTTCTTTACCTTTTGACACTAGATATATACTTTATGTTTTAGAACCCACCTCTTGACTGTAATTTATTTTAACTGAATATTTAATATTGAATTTTTAAATCGCCGCAGCCTGCCCTGGGACCTCAAGGTGAAAGGCGAGCAAGAAATCAAATGATAATCATCATCTGCAGGGACTCCAAAATCCATGGCACGACTCCTTGGCTGGCAACAGCTTGGGCTTTTATTTATTAAATTTATATATCCCACCTTTCCTCCCAGTGGAGCCTAGGGAGGCTTTTAATTGTGTCACAAGATGTCCCCCAGTGGCACAAACTTTACTTTGCTCATCAGACAAGAGGTGCAGGCACATACCTTGCTATCAAGGCGCTGGAGGTAGGAACAGATGTATTCAATGCTCGCTCCAAAAGGGTGAACGTGCAAGAAGGTTGAGATTATTCCTAGAGAAACAAAATTAATGGAGTTACATCCGGGACTCAGATGCTTGCAGTGAACACATTTGTCTCTACTGTGAGCATTTCTGTATCTTTGGGGAAGAGCAGAAGCTGCCTTTTGGCTTTTCAAAATGTCGTGGGAATGCCCAAGCAGCAGGTCATTAGTGAAGGAGAATGTCACCCTCCATATGTTTTTAGCCTCCTGCTCCCATCAGCAGCAGTCCAACAACATCTGGAGATCCACAGGTTCTCCATTTCTAGTGCAGAGAGATTCACACTGTGGGCTCCAACTTATTTGTTGTAACATCAGGTGTTATGTATGTGGGCCTGACTCAGACCAGCCTGCATTAATGGTTATCAGACTGGGCTGCACTTCTGGTGGGTGGATCAAGCCCCAGATAAAAGCACCCAGTAGTACTTCTGAGCAGATGCACCTTTGTTAATAAGCTCTCAGAACCAATTTTGCCTGGTTGGCAAAATTATTCACAGCTTGGTGTGTTTTGGGAATTAACCAAGAGAAGGTCTGCCTGTTGATTAAAAAAATACTGACACATAAACTTGTGTTTGCTTCAGGACTGCATCATCCGTCCCACCCATTGGAAAAGTTTTTACTTTTATGGGGAAAGGCCAATTTGTTGTACAATAAAGATGCTTGGAGTGCATAATGAATTTAGGTTGTGCATACTGCAAAAGATAATGAGCCTTTACACCTGAGCTTATAGAGCTGGCATATTTTGGGGAGAGGGGGGTGTAGCTGGGTGTTAAAGAGCACATGCTTTGCAAGCAAAAGGTCCCAGGTTCAAGGTCCCAGCCTGAAACCTCGAAAGGTTGCTGCCAGTTGATACTTAGGTAGATGGACCAATGATCCAATGGTGCCCAGCAGCCTCCTATGTTTCTGTGTGGAATGTATCCCGGCCTCAACAATACCGTGGCCAATGTGATCCTTACCCACTAGCAAAGCTTCCCTTTCTGATTTGATAGGGCTGCCGTTGAGTCCTCTCTCAAGTGTGCTCTCCTTTTCCTGGCACACTGAGCAAGCTGGTGAAAAGTCGTTGGCCTAAAGGCAATTACAGATAATTACTTTCTAGCACTGATTTGTATCCTAGCAATCTGTCAATTAAGTCACCAGCTGCATCCTGCATGTTGCACAGTAAGCATACTTTACAAACAGTAAAAATATTATAGAATAGGTATAGGATAAAGGACCAGAGAAAACATATTAGAAATTATTCCCAAATGCACACATGCACACCCACCCACCCCTGAATGGGCACTGACTTCTTCACCTACAATGGATTTTTATTTTTATTTTACATGCTCACAATTAGTGTAATATTCTTCAGGAAAACACACAACTGCAAATCAGAGTCAGCCAAATTTGTTGTCAGCCAACAAATGTGAGCTTCTCTCTGCAAATGGAAACAGCAGGTGTGGGGATCTAGGATGCAGCAGGGGAATGCACCTTGCCCTCCCCACTATGGGCCTGATCCAGTTCCCCCCTTCCCCTGGCACACTGGCTGTTTGTAAAAGAAAGAAAAAATCTTGCACTGAAGGTAAAACCTTTACATCACAGGTAGTTAGCCTCAAGATGGCTTTTAAAAGGGATTAGACTAATGCATGGAGAAGAGGTCTATCAGTGGCTAGCATTGCTGAACAGAACTTCCATGCACAGAGGCAGTATCTCTCTCTGAATACCAGGCGCTGGGGAAGCGCATCACTTCCTTGCCTAGCTTGGAAGCCCCTAGAACAGGCTTCCTCAAACTCGGCCCTCCAGATGTTTTTGGCCTACAACTCCCATGATCCCTAGCTAGCAGGACCAGTGGTCAGGGATGATGGGAACTGTAGTCTCAAAACATCTGGAGGGCTGAGCATGAGGAAGCCTGCCCTAGAAGCAACTGATGGCTGCCTTTGAAAACAAAAATGACAGATTGAGCAGACCTCTGTCTAACACAGCAAGAGTTCCTAATAATAATAATAAATTTATATTTATACCCCGCTCAGGACGGCCAACAACAAATAATAAAAACAAGTTGATTAAAATACAATTTTAAAAAGATTAAAATACAACATTAAAACATTCACAGGAGGAGAAAGGAAAAAGAAAGAGGGGGAGGGAATCAAACTGATTCTAAGCCAAAGGCCAGGCGGAACAACTCTGTCTTACAGGCCCTGCGGAAAGAAATCAGATCCCGCAGGGCCCTGGTCTCATGAGACAGAGCGTTCCACCAGGCTGGAGCCAATGTTGAGAAGGCCCTGGCTCTGGTTGAAGCTAATCTAACTTCCTTAGGGCCCGGGACGTCTAGGGTGTTGCTATATATAGACCTTAAGAAAGTGGGAAGCTTACACAGTGGGGATAATCCATAAGGGAACAAAATGGTGAGGGCCAGCTAAAACTAAATTAGCCCAAAGAAATCTAACCAAAAGTAGGTTGCAAGATTTTCATCATCATGGAAGATCTAGTAAATCAGACAAAGGGTGCAATTCCATAAAGTTTGAGAACAGTAACTGTTACAAACCATGTAATCACCATGACTAGAATTAAGCATCACATGTCATAGGGATGGCATGTTCCAGTGCAGAAATAGAAAGGGGCAAAAGAATGGTTTTATGCCTCAAAGTCACCATTGTCACCATTGTCTATATTACCTCAACAGGTTGGTTGAGGCTCATTCTAGGATTTGTGGCAAGCAAAGGAAAATACTGCCTGCTACCCTGCATTGTAGGACGGGGTTAATAAAAAAGCAGGCATATTTGAACCTGAATTCACAAGGAAATATAAAAATAAGACTATGTCAAAGTATTCAAAAAGAAACTTACGAAACTCACGTGGTCTTGATCATTGGAGTCTTTCCCCCATTCTGGTCCAGCAGCCAGCTCTTGCTATATTCAGTTGGAGAAACAAAAAGTCATAGTCCCAGTAGCATGTTATTCTTGTTAGTTGAACCACTCAGCACTTTCCCCTCTCAGTGATAAACATCACCTTATCAAACTAAGGCTGAGTTAACAATCAAGAACAGAATCATGTGCAGCCACTAGCCCAATATTATTATTTTAAGATGAGCAACTTTTGTGCAAGTCCCCAAAGAAGTGTCTAGTAATTAAAAACAACAGCAACATCATAAAAACTCATTATGTGGGGAAAAGTCATACAGGCAGGCGATATGAAATGCAACACTGGCTTGAGACTACAAGACTTTTGACATGTAAAAGATTTAAAGTCTCAACGGATGTGATGCAAGTTACCCAACTTCATACACCTTTGCTCTGTTCATAGCAATGCCAGTAAATAGGTTACTACATAATTCAAGACTATTTTGGCAAGGCCTAGATTATGTATGTATGTATGTATGTATGGGACGCGGGTGGCGCTGTGGGTTAAACCACAGAGCCTAGGACTTGCCGATCAGGTCGGCGGTTCGAATCCCCATGACGGGGTGAGCTCCCGTTGCTCGGTCCCTGCTCCTGCCAACCTAGCAGTTCGAAAGCACCTCAAAGTGCAAGTAGATAAATAGGTACCGCTCCGGTGGGAAGGTAAACGGCGTTTCTGTGCGCTGCTCTGGTTCGCCAGAAGCGGCTTAGTCATGCTGGTCACATGACCCGGAAGCTGTACGCCGGCTCCCTCGGCCAATAAAGCAAGATAAGCGCCGCAACCCCAGAGTCGGCCACGACTGGACCTAATGGTCAGGGGTCCCTTTACCTTATGTATGTATGTACATTTTTATCCCACCCTTCCTCCAAGGATAGTGGGCAACATACATGGTTCTCCCTATTCCAGTCTTTTTATCTTCACAACTACCCTGTGAGGTGGATTTAGGCTGTAAGAGAGAAATATGGGCTCCCAGTTACAAAGGGAGCTTTATGTCCAAGTTAGGATGGAGAGCCAGCAAGACCAGCACCTGGGAGCAAATCTTACCTTTTCATTTAGGCTTTCAAGCAATTTGTCGAGTTGTGCCTTTTCTTCATTGACTTTTTCCAGTTCTGCATCTCTTCTTTCACATTCATCTTGGAGTTTCAGGAGATGCTTGGAAAGAGGAAGAGAATAGTTTCATCTATTGTATTTTTAGCCACCCAATCCCAAACACTGAGTAAAGTACAAACAAAACCGAAACTAATATTAGACAAACTAGGATTTATTTATTTATTTATTCATTAAATAAATTGGCACCTGGTTGGCCACTGTGAGAACAGGATGCTGGAAAACATGGGCCCCTGGTCTGACCCAGCAGGGCTGTTCTTAGATAAAGTCCTCTGCTCTATCTACTTTTCCACTGTCTTATCCACTATTATATTCCAACCTCTCTCCCAGCGGAGCTCCTTTTCTGGCAGAACCTAACTTCAAGGCATTGAGAAACATTTATTATATAACATCCAGCCCATTTTACATATAGGGCCAATTGCTCATGGTACAACTTTTGCATACAAAAGTTAAAGCTACCTGAGCTGTTCATTTTTAGAGGACCTCTCTTTTTTATTATCCAAAACACTTGCTGTTGTTCTTTCTGGGGATGAGTGAGCCTTTGTAGTCTCTCTGACTATCATAGCATTTAGGAACATAAAAGATATTCCTGAAACAGCTGCTTGGAACAAACAATTTAGGTGCCCTTTCATGGTGCCAACTCTGTGAAGAAGACCCACATTAGTCCATGTGATTAGATCCATTAATTGTTCTACCAGTCACATGGAACCACACTGATTAACTCTTTCCCCAGCCACACAGAAGCAGTTTTACAACTACAACAGAAATCACATTTCAGAAATGCATCCAGGGAAGGCTCTGGCACTGTAAAGCCTAAACAGTACTGCTCTGTAGTCAAGTCTACTTCTTAGTGAGGGATTATTCCCATGTTGCAACCTTGGAAAAAGATTTGGACATGTGGACATGTTGCAAGCTTCACAAGGGCATTTATTTTCACTCCAATAAAAGGCATCAGTAGAACAGCCTTCCCCAGAGGTTTAGGACTACAACCCTGTCAGCACTGTCCATCATAGACAGTGGTCAGGAATTATGGGAGTTGGAATCCAAAACGTCTGGAAGGCACCCTGTTGGGGAAGAGAGATCTTCTATGGCACAAGGCAATTACTACAAATATTCATTGGAGGTGGTTTCCTTTTGCAGGAAAGAGTCCTACCTGCTGCATGCCTTGCAAAGCCTGCTGGAGAATCTTTAATTTCTGGTCTTTGCTTATGTCTTCATCTCTGTCCACTTTGCCCTGCTCTTGCTTTAAGAGATCCACCTCATTCCTGTACGCATCAAGCTGACATTTTAAGCTGTCATTTTCTTCCTTCAGAGCTTCTGCTTGAGATATTAAAGCTGGGGGTTGGGAAGAGAAAAAATGGGAAGGTGGATACACCTATTGTCCTTGGAATTAGTTTGACCTTCATTGTTCCCCATTTGGTTTTTTATTTTCTAGAACATCTTCTAAATATATGCTTAATTCCTTAATAAATGTATTGGAGATGTTTGTGTTATACATGTGTTATACATCAGCGTCTGGTCTCACCTGTTTTGGAAATTTGCTCTGTAGGCACCCATGACACAGCTGTAGTATGGACTGCGTCAGATTGATCTGTAGTTTGCATGATACCATGCATGCTTTGCAGCCGGGGACAGTAAGCAAATGCAATGGCTATACATCACAGGAACAAATCATTTTCTACAGGTCCCATCCCCTGTATTAAGTGGTGCCTCAGACAGCTCTTTGTGGAACTACAATTTCAGATTTTATGGGAGAATCCAGATCTGCAGGAACTCAAACAATGTATATAGGTAGGTCATCTAGAAATATGAGATCCCCAGTGCAGGAAATAACTGCGACTCTGCCATTTCCAATCAGCTACTGTTTCGTAACTGACTCTAGCTTGAAAAACCTGGGGCCCTGATTAAAAATAATACCGTAGATTCTGGTGTATAAAATGACTTTTTAACCCCGGAAAATCCTCTAAAAAGTCGGGGGTCGTCGCTTCTGGGAAATGATATATAATGAGATAAAGAAAATATTGAAATATACATTTGTTAAAAAACCAGAAGCATTCCAGTTAGGAATTTTAGGTGGTAAGATAAAAAGGAAGGATCAGAAAGTATTTTTGTATGCAGTAACAGCAGCTAGAACTCTTGTGGCCCAGAAATGGAAACAAGAAGAAATGCCTACGATTGAAGAATGGAGAACGAAATTAATGGATTATGCAGAACTGGACAGATTAACAGGGAGGATTCGCAACCGACGGGACCAAAGATTCACTGAGGACTGGAATAAATTTACAGAATATATTAAAAATATTTGTGATAATGATATAACGTTTGTAAGTTTCCAAGAAGCTCTGTAAGAAGGTTTGGTAGAAATATTGTTTAAATAACATGGTAAGATAAGATATACATAGTGCAATATGAATGAAGAAATGTGAAGATATGTAATAACTATGGAAAATTATCAGACGTGTTGATGGAAGTCTAAAAGAAAAAAGACGTGTGATGAATTCCTAATGTTTAATTGTGTTATAAATTTGTTTTTATTGGAAAATTAATAAAAATTATATACAAAAAAAAAAGTCGGGGGTTGTCTTATACGCCGGGTATGGGTTCGCTGGGCAGCGGCAGTGGGTGGCGGGCTGCACACCGGGAAGAAGCTGCCCGGCGAAGCTGCCCAGCAATGCTAAGCCGGCTTCACTTGCAGCTTCCTCTTGGCGCGGAGCAGAGCCCACCACCCATTGCTCCTGTGGCGGCAGCTTTGGCAGCTTCGCTGGGCAGCAGCAGTGGGCAGCGGGCTCTGCGCCAGCAGGAAGCTGCCCAGCAAAGCCGGCTTAGCATCGCTGAGCAGCTTTGCCAGACAGTTTCCTCCCAGCGCAGAGCCCACCGCCCACTGCCGCTGCCCAGCGAAGCTGCTGTGTATAAGACTGGGCGTATAAGTCAACCCCCCAAATTGGCAGCTGCCAATTTGGGGGGGTCGTCTTATACGCCCAGTCGCCTAATACGCCAGAATCTATGGTAGGTAAGTAGAACACACATGCTTGAATACTGAACTTGAATACTCTGGCTGAACACCCCTGAACTTGAATACTCTGGCTTCCTTTCAACACAGTGCCAGTCATACCTGACTCTTCCATCTCCTTGGCATCTGATGGCTCTGTCTCGTCGTCAGACATTTCCATTTCCTCTTCTCGTCGGATGCCCATCAGCTCATCATTCTGAATGTTGCGGATTTCCTATGATTTAAAGAGCATTTTTTATATATATAAAAGAAAAAAGAAATGCTACTGATTGCTCTGCATGCTGGTTCACAGTTAAGAACCTGCAGGAAGTACCAGGAGAAAAGGAATAGGGGGAGAAGTGTAGCGACTTTGTGTCTGGTAATGGCAAGCTTTGGACACTTAAACCTATCAAGTTCCTAATTTGTGCAATTTGATAAAATTCATTCACAGAATTTTGGGGTGGGGAAGATTAGCATGGAATTCAAAGCAACTCCCCCTTGGTGATAAATATTGTAACTTGCACAGCACGTTCAGAGAACAAAATGCTTTATGTTTGTCCATTTTTTAATCCTCAAGTAATTGAGGATTGAGTAATTTTAATTACTCAAACAAGCCTCATGATCATTTCATTCTTTATACACATGGCTGGGGAATGATGTAAACCAAAGCCACCCCAGTTCAACTCTTGAGCTTCTGGGACACCAGATCTTAGCAACAGTCAGGTTCTAAGGTAGAAGTGCAGTCTGTCTGAAAAATGGTTATTTTGAAGGAAACGGTGGCTATTTGAAGGTATCCTTTGGCTATTGCCTGGATATTAGGGAGAGAAATCCCAGCCCCTTCCACAGATGCAAACTATGGAGGGTCCTATTGTAGCAAAGGGGGTAAGTGAATAGCAGTTCCAGAATACACAGAAAAGCCACATGGCAGCTAAACAGAAATGAACAACCAGACAAAAGTGTGATGGTTAAAGAGATGGAATGATTTGCTCCTAGGGCATTGGGGACTTTTATGCTAGATTTATGTTACCCAGCCTAGTATTGCTTACACTGACTAACATCAGCTGTTCAGAATCTCAGGCAGAGAAGAGGCTTTCCCAGGGTTTTTTTCCCCCTAGAAAAAGAGGTGCCGGAACTTGTTGAGCTTTTTTAGAGGCAGCAAAGTTGTGCCAGGGAACAGCAACACTACAGAGGTGCCAGAATGCCCTGGTCTTTCCCATTACTGCTACACAATCCTTCCAACTGGAGATACCAGGGATTGAACCTGCAACCTTCCACATTAAAAGCACCAACAAAAATAAAGGAATGAATGAATGAATGACGACCTACTTATGTGACGCTTACACAAAAAAACTTGCACAAATACCATGCAGTAGAACGAAATATCATTATACCCCCCTTCCTTCTCCCCTCACCCCTTTCTTTTTCCCGACACTGAATGTAACTGAACTGTGAAAAGGACCCTATGAATTGAAAACAGAGACACTATATGTACTTTTGTTACACAATACAAATCTTTAATAAAATAAAAAGTAGGCAGCATTCTTCTCAAGTTCCCAAAACTCCATATTATGGCTTCCATCTCACACTATCTCCATTTTTTTGGGGGGGGGGATGAAGACAGATCAATACTGGAAAGTGCTGAAAGGTTTGCTAATGTCAGATAATCAAAGCCATCAAGACATGGGTCCTTAAGAACTCTCTATTAATATGTCCCTACCCAACCACTAAAAGTAGGTGGACTATGCATGACAGGGTGTTTTATCTTACAGTACCAAAGGTGTGGAATTGCTCTCCAGACGGAGGCCAATCTGGCCCCATCAAAGCCAGCTTCCTGCCACTCTGCAAAAACATGGCCCTTTCACAGAGCACTTGGCAGACAGACAGCAAGATCATAAGCAATACTACTGTTTGGGCCAATTCTCTTTGTTGCATTTTTAGTTGCTTTTTATGCTTTGCTGGGATTCGTTAAGACAGAGGGGCAGGATAGCAGCGTTTTTATAAATAAACATAAATGAAAATGGTTTTGGAATAAGCGTGCCAATTACTCCGCAGGCACAGCAGGACAGGATCTAAATTTCATTTATTTATATCCTGTGTTATTCTACTCCAGTTACGAAACTACCAATAAAATCGTGCAGAATACTTGCCATATGTTCCAGATCACAATTACTTACCTGAAGCTGCCACAAACTGCAAGGAACCTCATTGTATATTTGTATTTTAAACCAGTTTAACACATGCCCAGTTGCTTCTCACCCCAACTATTTATTACTGTGATCCAGAATAATCATGAGCAAACTATGAAATCACACAGAGTAGCACAGGCACCACTCTTGAACAAGGCCAGACATAAAGGCACCTTTGCTTAAAAATTGCCCTTCTATATCAATGTTAGTTATGGCGTGTTTGAGTACTAAGCTATACCACGGTTTCATGTGAATCCTTACATCATTTGCAAGTATGTCTTACTGTAAGGCAGTATGGCAAAGTTATGGCCCTCCAGTTGTTGTTGGATGAAAACTCCTATCATTTCTGACCATTGGCCATGCTGGCTGGTGCTGATAGGAGTTTGAGTCCAACACCAGAAATTTCTGGGGAAGAACTTGGACTGTCTTCATTTCCTATGTTCTCAGTTCTGCATGCCTGACAACTGAATGCATGACTGAACATTTTTAAAGCTTCTTTGGATCTTCTTAAACAAGCCTGTCAATCCCCAGCCCTTTCTAAATCATATAGAATACTCAGCCTCTTCATAATTCTATACTGCACCACCACTGAGGAGCTTCCTTCAAATTATGCCTGGCACATTCACCGTTTCTGCTGTGGGCTTCAGTAGCAGACAGACTGCATGGTTGCCCAGAATTTAGAGTCAGAATAGGTCAAAGAGTCAAATCCTTGCAATAGGAGAACTTCTTTAAATCATACCTGACAGTAGTTCATCTGGTCTCATCAAATGTGTGGAGAGAGAAAGCATCCAGGGAAGGAGAATCCATGCTCCTTTGTTCAACTATTACAGCTAAGAATACTTATTCACATGAACCCAAGCTCATCTGCAACTTGAACCCAGCGCAGCTGCTCTTGCCTCCATAGTGTCTGTCCCACGTGGGACATTTGTAGTCTTGTTGCAGCCTCATGGCTAATGCTAGCATTGCCACATCTTTCCAGCCATTTAACCTAAGAAGAGCCCTGGCAGATCAGATTGAAGGCCCACCAGCAAGACACCCTCCCTCCATGTTCCCAAACAGCTAACATTCAGATGATTAGAGACTACAGATGATGACCTCCTTGCCATGGTTCTAGCTACCTAAGGTTTTCTATGACTATTGTGTGTGTCTTAAAGCACCTGAATCCACCCTAGTATAATAGTAATTATTATTATTATACCTCACCCATCTGACTGGGTCACCCTAGTCTCTCTGGGTGGCTTTCAACATATATAAAACATAATAAAATGTTAAACATTAAAAAGCTTCCCTATACAGGGCTGCCCTCAGAACTGAAGAGAGCAGAGCTACTATCTTTAGGTAGTGGGCATAATGCTGCCCAAAAATGCAAGTACAACTATTTCTAAAGAGCTTCATTCATATCCCACTATAATTCTGAGCTTCTTCTTAATAGTGTTCACCAATGGCTGTTCTCTTCCTCTCCTGAACTCCCTCGTGCTGTGTTTTGCTATGAACTTAGCTCCATGTGCGTTGCTACTTACCTTCCAGAGCAAGGCTGGAAAAATCCATCCTTTTATAAGCAAGCCTATAGGCCAAAAGGAGCTAACGAAAAGTAAAAGGAAGTACCAACCTCAGCTTGCTTGCACCATACGCTGATGTTCTTACGTTGCGCTTTCGTGAAATGGTCCCAAGCCTTTTGTTTGGATGCAGAATGGTACACGGCCACTATCTGCTCGACTGCAGTTTCAAAATCAGCGGGCAAAACCAGGCCACAATATCATCCAGAGAGGGCAAGAGAAAGGAGTAAGAGAGCGGGATCAGGCAGGTGGTCCAGTGAATCTTTTTCTTATGACGCTTTGCTGGGTGGAACCATAGCTGAGAAAGATGGTGCTCAGGAAGAAGCCAGAGCCACAGAACTTGGAGATCAAAGCAGCACAACAGGCAAGATATGTTTGTATGTCCAATCAGGCAGAAGCCAAGTTAACAGAGTAAGCTGTCTTGATGAGGAGGGTGACACTAAACACTCAAAAAATGAGTTTCTTAAAAAAACTCAAGAGGAAGAAAAGCACTCATGTAAAAAGAAATAGATGCTTGGCCAGAGAGAAAGAGACAGAGAGACAGAGAGACAATTTCCCCCCCACTTCACAAACATTGGGTCATAAATAGGGCTGGGTGTATTCCATAAATCTGTAACTGCAAATAAGTACTGGACCCAAAATCCTGCACACTGAATCTTACCTTGGTTTTTAATTTCGTTTCTAGTCCTTACTACCACAGTGATAGACTTGGAAAAATCTCAGAAGCCAAAAAGAATGGAGTGTGACTTCCAGTGGAGCTTTAATATTCCCAATGGGTTGGCTTGCTTGTAACACTAAGGCAAACAATGGTTTAGCATGGGCTCCCAGAGAGGAAATCACAGCCACTTTACTTCTCCTCTTGTTCTGCTGCTGCTGCACTGCTCTGAGCTAAGCCATCATTTTAGCTCAGCATGTGATGAACCCAGGATTGTAGCTTGTCTCACTCCAGCTTGTTTCCTGCTTGGCAGGGGGTTGGACTCGATGGCCCTTGTGGTCTCTTCCAACTCTATGATTCTATGATTCCAGACAAACAACAGCAAGGGCTGTTCTTGGGTTTACAACTTATGGTTTGTCTTGATCGAGACTAATAATAATCATAATAATCATAATAATTTATTTATACCCCGCACATCTGGCTGGGTTTCCCCAGCCACTCTGGGCGGCTTCCAACAGAATATTAAAGTACAATAATCTATTAAACATTAAAAGCTTCCCTAAACAGGGCTACCTTCAACCGAGAAGGCCCTCTGCCTGGTTCCCTGTAACTTGGCTTCTCACAGCGAGGGAACTGCCAGAAGGCCCTCAGCGCTGGACCTCAGTGTCCGGGCAGACAGATCCTTTCCCAAAACATATTCCTGCAAATTTCTAGCCAAAAGGTTTAGACAAACCATGAACCTTAGTTCAGTCATCACACTGAGCCAAACCATGGCTTAGCTCAGAGCAGTAAAGCAGCAGAACGAGGGAAGGTGTGTAGCAGCAGCGATATCCTCTCTGAAAAGCCTCATACTCATGCATTTGTGCTGAGCATTTGGCTTAGCATTACATGAGAACCAGTTTTATGACTAGATTATTTTTAAAAAATCGCCACATGTACATATTTGCACAGCTTATATGAGAAGTTACAATGCATAGTTTTCCTCGGGATTGAATGTTATTTTAAACACCAGAGTAGGGCCCTGCTGGTGATGCGGGAAGTATGATATGCTGCCCCACATTCAGTAAAGTAATACAGGTCCTTTCCCAAAACATATTGCTGCAAATTTCAAGCCAAAAGGTTTAGTTGTGAAAGATTATCTTCCCTGAAAGGAGCTAAAAATCCATCCCATAGCCACAGGTGATTGGCTTGAACACTGGAGAGGCTACTGAATTGCTCTTACCCTGGCTAAAGATTGACCAACACCAACATCATGGCAGGATTCAGGTCTGAGGTCCCCCCCCCCCCAATTGCTACTTACTGTAACTCCTTCTGGAATCCGGGACCAATATATTTTTTTAAGGTTAACAGAATAAAACAATTCAAAACAAACACTAAGCAAACTGCAGAATCCTCTTGGTACACTCAGGAGACGAATGGTCACACTGTGCTGTGATACATAACAAGGTGACCTTAAAATCAGACTATCAAGGCCAGGAGGCTGCTAAAGTGTCAGCTTCCCCAGCTGCGAGGTGGTTGCTGCCTGCCAGGGACTTGGTTGGCTAGTTACTCAGTTCCAGAGAATGAAGGAGAGAAAGCTCTGCAGGACATTCAATAGGAACAGAATCTCCTGGTTGGAAATGGATCCTGGTTAATAACAGGGCAATGAAAACTGCAGAACACTCCCAGGGCTCAGAAGAGCATCAAATGTTTTGTACATAACGTTTAAAGTGACGCAAAAAAAGGAAAAATGAAGCAATATTACATTACCTTGAAGGCTTAAATCTCCCATTTAGTAAGATGATCTGTAGATCCTCAAAGGAACAGGAAGATAAGGGATTTGGCTATACACCTACCTTTGTTGCCTAAGCCTCTCAGCAATCACCAAAGGTACAAGGCTGTGGTTAACACAGGAGCAGCCTGCAGGTAGGAACATCACTAAGGCAGAAAATACCTGCACATCCCGAGTGTGAACAGAAATTAAGAAGACACTTCAAAGAAGATTCAGAAGCTTCAGCTGGTGCAGAAATAGGTGGTCTGTCTCCTGATGCAGTATGTATGCTGCAAGCACATGACATCTACTAAGGCTCACTACCATGTTCTTTCCTGTGTCCCATCCCATTAATAATCACCCAAGAATGCTCTCCAGACTGTACCATTAGTTTACCAAAGAAAATGTGCACAGTAGGAGTTTCGTGGGCTTTTTTGTTTGTTGTGTCTGGGGCCCATTTTTTCTTCAGAAACCTATCAGAATAAGATTTTGATAGTTTTCCAGAAGCTTTGTAAGATTTTATTGTTTCCATTGAGCATTTATGGCCTGGTAACCTTTCATTCATTTAAAATTAATTTTAATATCCAGCATTTTATCTGTTAAATGGTTTGTTATCTTTTTCCTTTTTTAAAATGTTTGCTGGTTTTCTTTGACATTTGTACGAATGCAGCATGGTGGTTTAGAAATTTGTAAGAAATAAACCTAAATATGTTTCCTAATAAAGGGAATGTATGTTCCGGATCTGTGTCTCTCTCTCTTGTTCAACCTTCAACTGGAAAAAAAGAAAACAAAAAATGGTACATTTCCATCAAGTGAGACTTTGAAATCCTGGTTGCAAGCCCCAAACACTTACACTGAGCAAGAATTCCTGCGAGTGCAAGCTTGAACTTCTCCTTTGCTTCTTCCATTTCCTTTTCATGGACTGCTTTCTCATTTGTAAGCCGGCGGATGTGGCTGTTGACCGACTGGATCATTGAGTAGAAGTTGTTTGCAGTCCGTCTGTTCACTTCCCCACGCTCTATCCAGGCCAGCAGTGTCTGCACCGCTTCCAAAAACTTGGAATCATCTGACCAAGAGAGAAACACTGCTCAGTACAAAGCACTGGTGAATTTTGCAAGTAATACTATTTAAATCATCGCTCCTGTGTGAGAGTTTAAAACACAAAACATAGTAAGATGTTTGATAGGCTAAAATGATATTGTTTTGTTACTAGTGCTCTGCCATAGCTTCCCTGTGGCTGCTATGGGGGTTCTTTTGTTATGTTTTATGGTATAATGTATTTACATTTATGTATTAAACATTAGTTAAGTCACTTGGGGGATGCGGGTGGCGCTGTGGGTTAAACCACAGAGCCTAGGACTTGCCGATCAGAAGCTCGGCAGTTCAAATCCCCACGAGGGGGTGAGCTCCCGTTGCTCAATCCCAGCTTCTGCCAACCTAGCAGTTCGAAAGCACATCAAAATGCAAGTAGATAAATAGGCTACCACTCTGGCAGGAAGGTAAACGGCATTTTCGTGCACTGCTCTGGTTCGCCAGAAGCGGTTTAGTCATGCTGGCCACATGACCTGGAAGCTGTACGCCGGCTCCCTCGGCCAATAAAGCGAGATGAGAGCCGCAACCCCAGAGTCGGTCACAACTGGACATAATGGTCAGGGGTCCCATTACCTTTTAAGTCACTTGGAGATGTTCAGGTAACAAGCAACAGTCTAATTAATACTACTGTTTTGCATAGTTTGCATGAAATGATCCACCCAAGCAAGGCAAAACTCTGAAAGGCTGTGGTGGATGAGATTAACTCCACAGACAGTTGCAATGTACTAATCTGTTGTATGTCTATATGGGATGGATCACATCTCAGTGGAAGAGCATCTGCTTTGCATGCAAAATGTCTTGGGTAGAGTTCCCAGTTAAAAGGATCAGGTAGGAAGTGATGAGAAAGATCCTTCTTCTTCCAAGACCCTGGAGAACCACAGCCAGTCAGAGTATATAGTACTGGGTAAGAAACAGATAACTCATCTGATAGGGTACAGGACAGCTTCCTATGTTCCTAAGCACCTGCCACAATCCTCATGCAACAGCCTGCCAGTTTGGGGCATTATACTACAGCCCTATGTACCTTTTAGCTTCTCAGCAACAATACTGCACTCATAATACGAATAGTGGACAACAGGGAGGTGGGGAGGGAGGGTGGAACTGTTTTTCTGCCATCCTTCTGCGATGGCGCTCTTCCCGGGCAAGCATCCGCTGCTTGCATTCCCACTCGTAGAAATCATCCCGGGCTTGAGCAAAATCCACGTGTAGGCGCCCTGTATCCTTTTTATCAGTGCTGGAGCCCAGCCTGATGCGATAACCTGGCAATGATAGTTACAGAAACAACCATTAGCAGTTTCCCTGTGATAGGGAAGTTTTTAATGTTTGATCTTTTATTGTGTTTTTAATATCCTGTTGGAAGCCACCCAGAGTGGCTGGGGGGACCCGGCCAGATGGATAGGGTATAAGTAATAAATAATAATAATAATAATATAATAATAATAATAATAATTATGTTCCTCTGTTTCCCCCATCTGCAACATGGGGTCTGCCTGCTTTGTCTCCAGAGACTGCCAGAGACACCTATCAGAGGAAATGTGAACAGCTACAACTCAGGCTTAATAACATCCATGTTCAAACTGGATAAAGAAATGAACATCAACTGCTACGCATGCTCATCCACACATATCAATATGTTTGATTTATCAATGATTGTATCACATCTATGATGCAGACCAGCTACACAGCTCAAAAACACTTCAGGTAAATTCTGTTTGAAATTGTAACTGCAATATTTGTTAAGTTGTAAACATCACAAAGTAAGCTACATGGGAAGGGTGAGCATCAGGTGAAAGGTTGCTGCGGTTTCTGTTAAGTTGCTGAAGCCTTGCCAGATCCCTCTTACAACTCTGGAGGGTGGTTCTCATAGGGTACAGTGACACTGACTGGACAACACATGTTATTCCAGAAGGGAGGCTAACCTCCAAAGTTCTCCAAAGAAGCCATGTTGGTTCTGGATAGTTTGAAAAGGTGGTGGTTTTCAATAATCAGCAGGCATTATAAAGATTTCAGGCCCTGAAGGAGCGCCTCCACCCTTGTCATTAAGCCCAGCCACTGAGATCTAGCTCAGAGCCCAAGCAGAGGACCTTTTTTGGTAGTGGTGCCCACCCTGTGGAATGCCCTCCCATCAGATGTCAAGGAGATACGTAACTACTATATACAAGGTTTACCTGAAGGCAGCTATGTATAGGGAAGTGTTTAATGTTTTATTATGTTTTTGTATATGCTGGAAGCTGCCAAAAGTGGCTGGGGAAACCCGGTCAGATGGACAGGGTACAAACAACAACAATAACAACAACTATCATCATCATCATTAATCATAGAGACACACTGCTTGTTGCACTAGAATTATTCCCTCTCTTCGTGAGCTGTGCAGCTCACAAGAGTTCCTTACTGTAGTTTCATGCTGACATTTTTTAGCTTGTTGGAATTTTGGAATTGGGCATTTTTCTGTTTTTATTAGACAAATTTATGAAAGCTATTCACAATGGTCTGTGTCACCATTGCATGTTATAGTGAAGTTAAAAGACTCCTTAGCCAAATAACTGAAACTGGTGAGAGATGACTGTACAACTGGGAAAATGGAAGGGGACACAACAGACATGACTGCATGTCGCTTTTGCAACTCTACAGAAGAAATTATCTCTGAGTCAAAAGCAAAGACAAACAATATCTACCAGACAAATAAATAGCCTTGTCCACCATGTATTCCTCAGAAAAACGGATGTGGCAGAAGTGCTTTTTGCTCTTCCGAAGCGCTAAGATCTCTCCACACTGCTCAAAAATCTCCACAACAGTCTCTTCTGTTGCATTTTCTGGCAGTCCTCCAACAAATACCGTCTTGCATCCAGGAGGTCTTTCCCTTGTGGTGGGAGGAGGCAGATCTAAGGACAACAAGAAATATGATACATAACCATGCCACAAGCAAAAGACATCTGGTATTCAACTACAATCCGACAACAACTGCTGCGCATTTGTGTTTAAGTGTCAGAAGGCTTGGCCAGCTCTGGCCTCTTCCACACTTGCACTTGTCCTGTGCCTAGAAAGCACAGATCTACTTGCCCCATGTTTCCACTTGCCCCATGTGGTTTTGCCTTTGCCCTGCAGGTTTTCCCAGGGGAATGTGGCAGGGCAAATGGAAGTGTGGATAAGCCCTCAACCTTGCCAGGCAAAGTTATATCCTGCCAGCCTTAAAATATCAAAAATCAATATCTTTCCAGCACAGCATGCTTCCCAAAGAAGAAAAGATCCTCTTTTTTTGGCGACAGCTCACTGCTAGATTCACACTAAAAATAAACTGCAAGAACAGTGCACAGCCAAATACAAACACCCTTATACCATTGGTGGATCATCAGAGGTGCTGATGGAAGTCCAAAAAGATTGTACAAGTGGTGAATTTTTGTGGTATGTTATTTATAATTTATATGTTTAAAATTTAATAAAAAATATTATTTTTAAAAAGGAAATTCATAGGAGAGAAGTGGTTCTGTGCTTAGTTCTGTTTGAGGTTCCCTACAGGGCAAATAGATGGGCCCTTTGGCCTGATCAAGAAGCTCATTGTATATTCTTACAGGTCAACACCATGCACAGTTAATTCAAAGAGGTGCGCTCCTATTCCTCCCCTATCTAACAGATTCAAGTATCTCCTGGCAACGTGCAAAAAATGTTGCACCCTCACACAGGCAGCAATCAGTCTGCCCAGAAGACAGCCTACATTTAGGATGTGGGGATATGAGCTTAAAACATTTTAGAGTACTTGCCTGAACTAGCTTGATTATATTATTATATAGATTAATAATAAAGGGTGCTTTTGGCTTCAAAGGACTTAATTAAGAGAAAGTGCTGTTGGAATCAGCCCTGGTTTCACCAGGCGACGTTTTTCCCCTTCCGCGCTCGGCGGAGATTCACGTTTGTTCAGTTGCCTTGCTGCCAGATCCAAATTTTCCACACTTCAGCGGCATGGACTGGTGTTTCTAGAAAACAGCCACACTCTGAACATAAGAACATTAAAAGCCCTGCTGCATCGAGCAAAACTCTATCTGCCAAGGCATCTCATTCCAACAATTATGTTTCTAATAAATTCTTTTCAGCTGACTGCCCTGCCTCAGGCTCTGCCCGCCTGCTGGAAAATGAAGTCTCTCAATAGACATTGCTTCTCACCGGCACACTGCCTACGGTGGTGTTGAGACCTGCAACAAGGTTTTTGGGTGGGCAAGGATGCTGGTTCTTGGGGGAGTCCTCCATGGCTCGAGGGCAGCAGTCCCCGGAGCTCCTGGGCTTCAAGCTGGTTAGCTTCACATGTGTCACATTCCAAACGGTCCTGGTTTCTTGGACTCAAGCTCAGTGTCAGGTCCAGATCTGGGGCTACTGTGGCCTTACTTCATCTAGTCCCTACCTCTTCCCAGCCTCTGTCCAGGTCACTGCTGGGAATCTGGACATGACAACAAGAATTGGTTCTGACTTGATCTTTGTATGGCTTCCGGCCATACAATGGCCTCCCCTTTTAAATATGTGGTACGAGTGGACCTCGGGTTACATGATCGCTTCAGGTTACAGTACACTTCAGGTTACAGACTCACGCTAACTTCAGATAAATAGGTATCTTGGCGTTAAGAACTTTGCTTCAGGATGAGAACAGGAAAATTGCATTTGGCAGCACGGGAGCCCCATTAAGCGAAAGTGGTGTTCAGGTAAGAACAGTTTCAGTTAAGAACAAGACCTTCCGGAATGAATTTAAGTCTTAACCCAAGGTAACCACTGTAAGGGATATCTCTGGGAGTAAATTTCCTTCCCATCCAAAGCCTCGATTGTCAGTATCAAAGCCAGTTTACTCACCATACTTGTCTCTTTTTGTGCCAAATAATCCCTGTTTCACACAGTTCCCTTCTAGGCTGCTTCAAGTCATCAGCTGTCATTCGCAGGGTGTTTTAACTGTCTATCCCTTTTCCAAGGAACTCTGGGATATATGTAGCTCTGTGAAAGGAATCGATGCTTCCTAACAACTCTTCGTGCCCCTATACCAAGTGAGAACTACCAGAATTCTTTGGGGCAATCATGTGGTTTTAAAGTGGTTATGGTGCCTCTTTCAATGTACAGTGGACACTCAGGTTGAGAACGTGATTCCGAGTGGGATGCACGTTCGCAAACCCGCAGCATTCGCAACACAGTGGCGCATCTGCGCACGCGTGGTTGCGATTTGGCGCTTTCTGCACTGTGCAAAGCACAATTTTGCACTTCTGCGCATGCACGACCCCCCAAAACCCGAAGATAACCCGTTCCGCGTTGATTCCGGGTTTCAGCGGGTCCGTAACCCAAAAAACACAACCTGAAGTGTCTGTAACCCAAGGTATGATCTGTATAATGCAGCAGGGTTTAAATAAAAAAATATTAATTACTATTTTAAGCCCCTGGAAATAGAGGGGCAATATACTCAGTGTTATTGAAATCCCTGAAATGCTTCCATTTTGATCAAGTCTACGCCAGCTTTCCTTTCGGTTAAAAGTTCCCTAGCAAACTAGAGATGGACAAACACACAAACAATCCTCCCCCCAAAAATCAGGTGTTCCTGTCCACTTATCTCAAGTCGCCTGAATTCCCTCTAAATTGCCTCTAGATGTTTTACCAGAGGAGAAGAACCCCTGAATTTCGCTTTCAGCTAAATTCCCTGTTCCGATTCATCGCATAGACTTGCCAGTACATTTTCGTGGGCTTGTGAATCTGTGTTGGGTAGGACAGGCAGGCAGGCAGGGATCCAGTCACGGCTGCCCGTGAAGGAGTGAATTGGCTGCTCTCTACACCCTGTGCATTGTGAGAGAATTGCGGCTCTTGCTTCTCACCCAGGACATCTGCGTGAGTGCAGGCTAGCCCGGTGTTTCCCTCGGCTTTTTGTGTCACTTTAATTGATCTGCCTGTTGGTTCTTCTGGCTTGTTTTGCCTACTGCCTCTTAGCTCCTTAAAGACTTATGAAGGAAGCGCCAGTGCAATTGCCATGGACAGTGGCTTCCCCAGTGGCCTTCCTTGAGGCTTTAGAAATGTCTTGTTGAATCACAGATGAAGTGTGCGGTTTCCCCGAGGAGCTGTAAATTCTGCTCTTCGGAAGATGGACCTGCCACCTCCTTAATGATCTTGACGAATGTTTGGATCAGGTCCACCTAGCCAATTGTTCACAGTGTGGTAAGCCAGTGTGGTGTAGTGGTTAAGAGCGGTGGATTGTAATCTGGTGAACCGGTTCGATTCCCCGCTCCTCCACATGCAGCTGCTGGGTGACCTTGGGCAGTCACACTTCTCTGAAGTCTCTCAGCCCCACTCACACTCACAGCAGTGTTTGTTGTGGGGGAGGAAAGGGAAGGAGAATGCTGAGCGCTTTGAGACTCCTTGATGTGATAAAGCGGGATATTCAAATCCAAACTCTTCTTCTTCATCAGTCATCTCTTCCTGATGTGTCCATCAAGGGACCATATCTTCCTTCATTGCTGCTCTTGGATGAGTGACTGTGGACAGTTCAGCTATGCAGGACGGTGGGGGTGGCTAATCCCGTGACCTTACCCACCAACACCAGGAACGCACCAAGATTTTTCTGACCCTCCATGGTGTCATTCAAAATTTTGGCATGGTGGCAAAAATGGAAGCGGGTAAAAACGTCACTGTGGTGGGTGTAGCACCCTCCATATGATTATTGAACTTACATTTCCAAAATTGTTATTATTATTTATTAAAATCCTGTATACCACCCTAAATCTGTAGATCTCAGCGGCAGTTTCACAATATAAAATTACAATATATTATATTATAAATATCCACCACCACCCCAATACATTTAAAAGGGCTGTCAGATGTCAATCAGAATCACAAAGGCCTGTGGTTGAAGAGGAATTGATTTGCTCCTGGCGCTAAAGGTGTACATGGTACCTTCGGGTTCTCAAACGTTCTTGGTACTCAAATGCGAAAACCAGAAAGTAAGGCATTCCGGTTTTCGAATGATTTTCGGAAGCCAAATGTCCAATGCGGCTGTCGGCTATTGGTTTGGAAGCCGCCCAGAGTGGCTGGGGAAACCCAGCCAGATGGGTGGGCGTACACATAATAAAATTATTATTATTATTATTTTATTATAATTATTATTTATTATTATTTCTGGGGGGCACCTGCAACCAAGCAGAGCTGACACCTTGGTTTTCGAACATTTCCGGGAGTCAAACGGACTTCCAAGAGAACGATTAAGTTTTTGCGCTTTTAGTTTTTTGCTATTTATCGGTTTTTTGGTTTTAGGCTTTTTTGTGTTAATTTGTTTTTTGTGCTGTGTGGAACCCAGCTTCAGTACTGATTGATTGGATTTGATTGATTGATTTGTGATGCGGAATGGATAAAAGCCCCCCCATCCAACAATAACTATCATCAGTGCAGGTAAAGAAAAAAAGTATTATTTTTTAATTTTTATCATTCTACAATACTGTCTATTTATTTTATAGGTACAGTACATTGCTTTATTACTTTTCATTTATGAATCAATGGTTCGTTAGATAGGTAAAATCCTATGTTCAATTGTTGTTTTAGGGTTTGTTTTTAAAAGTCTGGAATGATTAATCCATTTTTGCAATTTACTTTCTATGGGAAAGCAGCTATGGTTTTGGAACGTACTTCCGGAACGGAATATTAATGTTGAGAACCCAAGGTACCCACTGTATAATGAAGGTGCCAGGTGAGCTCTTTGGAGGAAGAGCGTTCAACAACGCGGGGAGGCGCTGCAGAAAGGCCTGTTCTCGTGTTTGCCACCCTCTGACCTCACCATGAGGGGGCACACAAGAAGAGCCTTCAACAGGCCCCCGCTGGCCAAGCACTTACAACTCCTCTATTGCAGGGCTCCACAATGACAGGTCTTACATCTTTATGTATACAGAAGAGAACATCACTGAGC